ACCTCATAAGATTTTAGCACGGCACGTTTCAGCTTTTTTGGAATCAAATTGCGCCCATACTGAGCGAAACACTCTGTGAGGCCCCAGCCGACTCAGCAACATTCGGAGCCAACCTGCGCCCAGCCACGGAGACATTTGGAAACCTTGGCATTCCGCCACTATGGGAAAAAGGAGGATTTTGGGGAACGTTGGACGTGTGGATCAGATACATATTACCCTTTGATATTGGCGTGTATTGGTTTTGATTGTGATTGGGAAGTGCGTGGATAAATAGTATTGACATTTATTCGTGTGGGTTATTTGTGTGAATATATTGGGAGATTGTCCCATAATTATCTAGGGGAATTGCCTGTGGAATCGTTTGGAGGAGCAGAGCATTTATTTTCCCATTTGGCGACCACGAACGGCGGCCACTCGACGTTCGTAGATCGATCGTGTTTTATATTTCCCAAGGAAGAGCAGTAATTCCGAAGGAAATCAGATTTGAGCTAAAAGCAGAAACGGCCAAATCTGAGTCAGATCCCCTCCAGCAGTAAGGTTGGGATTTGACCTGGTTTTTCGCTACAAGCAGGTGCGAAATTCCAGAATTCAGAACCTCGATAGCAGAAAGAGGAATTCTGAAAGAAACAGTGTTTGTGTCTGAGCAGTAAAGACAAAACAATTGTAGATCTGAAGCAGGAAGCAGATCTCACGTGGTAGAAGCAGTATACACCACTTTTGAGCGAATTTTCGGCAAAAATCCCGGAAATTTTTATCGCGCCCTAGTACAATATAGTACTTGGTATCATACACGAGCCAGTCAAGTTCTTTTGGCATTCGTGAGCTGTGTTATCGATTAGAGAAATCGTTCGAGCAAGAAAAGTCGCGTTCTTTTGCGTAACCTTTGAGTAAATTTGAGTTGGATATTATTTTAGGTATCCAAACGGATTTGGGTGCCATTTGGTTTTGAAGTTGAATTGATTTGTGATTCTTATATTTATTGGAAGGGTTTATCGTGCCACACGTGAAGGGTTGTGAATTTTCCGCGAAATTTGTGAATTTTTTCGAGAATTTTGACTCGATATTATACTTGATATTCCAGGTAAAAACTCGGTCCGAAGTCGCCCATAAGGCTCCAGGAGAAGCACAAAGACCTCGAGAAGAACAAGAGCAGTTCCCTGACAAACCAACTGACAACATTCGGTAAGATTTTGACTATTAGTGTTGAATATTTAGAAAATGGATGGTGGGGACTTAAAAGCTGGGGAAAATGTGGAGAGGAAGCTGGAAGATTTCATCGAAGAATCTAGGGCACGCGCGGAAGCGGCCGAAAAACGGCAGGCAGCGGTCGAAAAGAACTTAGATCGGCTAATTGAGCTGTTAAATAAAACTGCGACCTTGCAAGCAGCAGCAGCGCCTCCAAGCCCGCAGCAGGCACCAGAGAGTTCTGAGACGAGTAGACAAAAGATTGACTTTGCTGAGCTTATGTTCCTGGATATGCACCTTCCAAGTTTAAGCGGTCGGGAAAAGTCGAGTGACATAGCGAGATTTTTCTATAAGTTCAAGGCGGGAACAAAAAATATGTCCTCATATGAGAAAACAGATCTCCTCGAAGCCAAGTTGATTGATCAGGCTGCGAAAATTTTTGAGCACTGTAAACGTTCAGCAAATAGCGAAGACTTTGACGAGATCTTTGAAAGTTTCGAGAAGGAAGTGAAAGCTCGGACATCTGATAGCAAAGACTGGGCGTCTATCTTTTTAAAACCTTTCTACAGGCGATACGACATGTCAATGCGCGAATATGCAGACAAAATTACAGACATAACTATCAGTGCGTTTGCGGGAGCTCCAAAGGAGATCATGGAAAGACAAATGTTATCTAAATTTATGATCGGTCTCAATCATAGGGAAGCGGGTAATGCCTTAGCGGCGGAAAAACACAAAAATTTGCCATTTGAAGAAATGGTCCAGATCGCCGTCAATGTGTATCAGTTTAATAAAGACAATGAACACCTAGTTCGCCCGCAACAGTCAATTGAAGCTGACAGCAACTTCAGCAACCCTAACCCAGCGCTGCAAGACTTTCCGAGGAACTCTTTAACCACAGGCAACCGACAATATCCTGAGATTCCGGGCGATAATAGAAATTCAAGGGGTGATCAAAATCAGGATTTTCAGAGCCCCGGCCTGCACTAAATTCGCGCAAGCCAGAGCCGGGTAAATACAACAACAGTATTCAAGCGCGACCGCAGTGTTACTATTGTCATAGGGGAACTCACATAGGAAAAGACTGTTATAAAAGACGAGATTACCTCGAGAAACAGAGAAAGAAATCATCATGCACACACCCAAATAACAAGGCGAATAAAAGGTTCCCAACCTTATCTCGAATCATTTCAGCAGGTCCATGGAATCCAAGATCGAATGCAAATCCTGAAATCAAGGAAATCGAGATCCTCATGATAAACAAGGTTGAGAACCGTAAAGACACCCAAGAGCGAAAAGCACGTCAGGAAACTTTCAGAACATACTCAGATCCCGAGAAAACGGACGAAAACGTCAGTGGAATTGAATTTGGAGATCTTGAAACGTTATTTGCTGAGCCAGAGATTTCAGGTCGGCCTGCAAAAGTTCACCTACAGACGGACTACACCTTGGAACTGTCAAAATCTGTATTCATGAGTTGGAGTCACGAGCAGGAAAGGAAATATTTGGATTTTGAAGAGATATTGGATAACTCCGTCTATAAAAAATGGTTCAATACTCAAGTCCCTGAAGAACGGTGTTCAAAAATTGGTGTTAGCCTTCGAAGAGCGAATAATTTTGGGATTTCTGACAAAATAAGTGAGTCATTTCCCCTGGAATTAGTGCCAAAAATCGACAGTGTCATTCAGATCTCTGATATTTGTCAAAACGATTGTGGGTTTCAGAAGTCATTCCTTCCCGTCAAAGGTTGTAAATTCAAGTTTTTGGAACAAAATCATAGTTTGAGTGGGGGATTCGATAAGAAGAGCTCGATAGAGTGGTTTTGTTACTCGAGAATTGAGGGGAAAGGCACAAAATTCAAATCTTTCGAAATTATGTGGACGTATATGGCAAAGTGTATTGTCAATTGCTATTCAACCGTGGGAATACCGTATTTTATTGCTATTTGTTGTCTTATTTCGAAGGTATTTCTGTTTTTGATTAACAAATTTTCTGTTTATTTATTATGTTCCGGTAAAAAGTCAAATCTGATGACATTTTGGCCCTGTTTCAGGAATGCGCAAAAGCTTTCTGAAAACGCCGGGACGTCGTTTGGTTATTGAGGGGGGAGCCAGGGGTATTTAGGATAATTTAGGGACTTCATTTGACTTTTTAACTTTATTTATTTGCAGATTTTGCCTTGTTTCTATTTTTTGTTCCTTGGTGCCAATCGCTAATCCAATCGCCAATCCGATCCCGCCAGTCCAATCCCGCCAACCCGAACCCGACGATGCCTCATCCCGACTACCAACCCCATTCTGAACCCCCGTGCCACTGGAATCGATGATATGACGTCGGGACGCCGTCACATTAGGGGAGGGGCGTGTGAGGCCCCAGCCGACTCAGCAACATTCGGAGCCAACCTGCGCCCAGCCACGGAGACATTTGGAAACCTTGGCATTCCGCCACTATGGGAAAAAGGAGGATTTTGGGGAACGTTGGACAGTCAAGAGGATAGAAGGAAGGGACGGAGGAATCTGAGCGTGCGTTTGGCCGTCAGAGTTCCGTGTGGATCAGATACATATTACCCTTTGATATTGGCGTGTATTGGTTTTGATTGTGATTGGGAAGTGCGTGGATAAATAGTATTGACATTTATTCGTGTGGGTTATTTGTGTGAATATATTGGGAGATTGTCCCATAATTATCTAGGGGAATTGCCTGTGGAATCGTTTGGAGGAGCAGAGCATTTATTTTCCCATTACTCTGATATTATACTAGGCACCGGTTTTAAAAAAAGGTCAATTAGTGATGACGGAGTGAATTGACAAGACATACACCATTCGAAAGATAACCTCATAAGATTTTAGCACGGCACGTTTCAGCTTTTTTGGAATCAAATTGCGCCCATACTGAGCGAAACACTCTGATATTATACTAGGCACCGGTTTTAAAAAAAGGTCAATTAGTGATGACGGAGTGAATTGACAAGACATACACCATTCGAAAGATAACCTCATAAGATTTTAGCACGGCAAGTTTCAGCTTTTTTGGAATCAAATTGCGCCCATACTGAGCGAAACACTCTGATATTATACTAGGCACCGGTTTACGTTTCAGCTTTTTTGGAATCAAATTGCGCCCATACTGAGCGAAACACTCTGATATTATACTAGGCACCGGTTTTAAAAAAAGGTCAATTAGTGATGACGGAGTGAATTGACAAGACATATACCATTCGAAAGATAACCTCATAAGATTTTAGCACGGCAAGTTTCAGCTTTTTTGGAATCAAACTGCGCCCACACTGGGCGAAACACTCTGATATTATACTAGGCACCGGTTTTAAAAAAAGGTCAATTAGTGATGACGGAGTGAATTGACAAGACATATACCATTCGAAAGATAACCTCATAAGATTTTCGCACGGCAAGTTTCAGCTTTTTTGGAATCAAATTGCGCCCACACTGGGCGAAACACCCTGATATTATACTAGGCACCGGTTTTAAAAAAAGGTGAATTAGTGATGTCGGAGTGAATTGACAAGACATACACCATTCGAAAGATAACCTCATAAGATTTTCGCACGGCAAGTTTCAGCTTTTTTGGAATCAAATTACGCCCATACTGAGCGAAACACTCTGATATTATACTAGGCACCGGTTTTAAAAAAAGGTGAATTAGTGATGACGGAGTGAATTGACAAGACATACACCATTCGAAAGGTAACCTCATAAGATTTTAGCACGGCCAGTTTCAGCTTTTTTGGAATCAAATTGCGCCCATACTGAGCGAAACACCCTGATATTATACTAGGCACCGGTTTTGAAAAAAGGTGAATTACTGATGTCGGAGTGAATTGACAAGACACATACCATTCGAAAGGTAACTTCATAAGATTTTAGCACGGCACGGTTCAGCTTTTTTGGAATCAAATTGCGCCCATACTGAGCGAAACACTCTGATATTATACTAGGCACCGGTTTTGAAAAAAGGTGAATTAGTGATGACGGAGTGAATTGACAAGACATATACCATTCGAAAGGTAACCTCATAAGATTTTAGCACGGCAAGTTTCAGCTTTTTTGGAATCAAATTGCGCCTGCACTGAGGCGAAACACTCTGATATTATACTAGGCACCGGTTTTGAAAAAAGGTGAATTAGTGATGACGGAGTGAATTGACAAGACATATACCATTCGAAAGATAACCTCATAAGATTTTAGCACGGCAAGTTTCAGCTTTTTTGGAATCAAACTGCGCCCACACTGGGCGAAATACTCTGATATTATACTAGGCACCGGTTTTAAAAAAAGGTGAATTAGTGATGACGGAGTGAATTGACAAGACATACACCATTCGAAAGATAACCTCATAAGATTTTAGCACGGCACGTTTCAGCTTTTTTGGAATCAAATTGCGCCCATACTGAGCGAAACACTCTGATATTATACTAGGCACCGGTTTTAAAAAAGGTCAATTAGTGATGACGGAGTGAATTGACAAGACATACACCATTCGAAAGATAACCTCATAAGATTTTAGCACGGCACGTTTCAGCTTTTTTGGAATCAAATTGCGCCCATACTGAGCGAAACACTCTGATATTATACTAGGCACCGGTTTTAAAAAAAGGTCAATTAGTGATGACGGAGTGAATTGACAAGACATATACCATTCGAAAGATAACCTCATAAGATTTTAGCACGGCAAGTTTCAGCTTTTTTGGAATCAAACTGCGCCCACACTGGGCGAAACACTCTGATATTATACTAGGCACCGGTTTTAAAAAAAGGTCAATTAGTGATGACGGAGTGAATTGACAAGACATATACCATTCGAAAGATAACCTCATAAGATTTTCGCACGGCAAGTTTCAGCTTTTTTGGAATCAAATTGCGCCCACACTGGGCGAAACACCCTGATATTATACTAGGCACCGGTTTTAAAAAAAGGTGAATTAGTGATGACGGAGTGAATTGACAAGACATACACCATTCGAAAGATAACCTCATAAGATTTTAGCACGGCAAGTTTCAGCTTTTTTGGAATCAAATTGCGCCCATACTGAGCGAAACACTCTGATATTATACTAGGCACCGGTTTTAAAAAAAGGTGAATTAGTGATGACGGAGTGAATTGACAAGACATACACCATTCGAAAGGTAACCTCATAAGATTTTAGCACGGCAAGTTTCAGCTTTTTTGGAATCAAATTGCGCCCATACTGAGCGAAACACTCTGATATTATACTAGGCACCGGTTTTGAAAAAAGGTGAATTAGTGATGACGGAGTGAATTGACAAGACATATACCATTCGAAAGGTAACCTCATAAGATTTTAGCACGGCAAGTTTCAGCTTTTTTGGAATCAAATTGCGCCCATACTGAGCGAAACACTCTGATATTATACTAGGCACCGGTTTTGAAAAAAGGTGAATTAGTGATGACGGAGTGAATTGACAAGACATATACCATTCGAAAGATAACCTCATAAGATTTTCGCACGGCAAGTTTCAGCTTTTTTGGAATCAAATTGCGCCCACACTGGGCGAAACACTCTGATATTATACTAGGCACCGGTTTTGAAAAAAGGTGAATTAGTGATGACGGAGTGAATTGACAAGACATATACCATTCGAAAGGTAACCTCATAAGATTTTAGCACGGCAAGTTTCAGCTTTTTTGGAATCAAATTGCGCCCACACTGAGGCGAAACACTCTGATATTATACTAGGCACCGGTTTTGAAAAAAGGTGAATTAGTGATGACGGAGTGAATTGACAAGACATATACCATTCGAAAGATAACCTCATAAGATTTTAGCACGGCAAGTTTCAGCTTTTTTGGAATCAAATTGCGCCCATACTGAGCGAAACACTCTGATATTATACTAGGCACCGGTTTTGAAAAAAGGTGAATTAGTGATGACGGAGTGAATTGACAAGACATATACCATTCGAAAGGTAACTTCATAAGATTTTAGCACGGCACGGTTTCAGCTTTTTTGGAATCAAATTGCGCCCATACTGAGCGAAACACTCTGATATTATACTAGGCACCGGTTTTAAAAAAAGGTCAATTAGTGATGACGGAGTGAATTGACAAGACATATACCATTCGAAAGATAACCTCATAAGATTTTAGCACGGCAAGTTTCAGCTTTTTTGGAATCAAACTGCGCCCACACTGGGCGAAACACTCTGATATTATACTAGGCACCGGTTTTAAAAAAAGGTCAATTAGTGATGACGGAGTGAATTGACAAGACATATACCATTCGAAAGATAACCTCATAAGATTTTCGCACGGCAAGTTTCAGCTTTTTTGGAATCAAATTGCGCCCACACTGGGCGAAACACCCTGATATTATACTAGGCACCGGTTTTAAAAAAGGTGAATTAGTGATGACGGAGTGAATTGACAAGACATACACCATTCGAAAGATAACCTCATAAGATTTTAGCACGGCAAGTTTCAGCTTTTTTGGAATCAAATTGCGCCCATACTGAGCGAAACACTCTGATATTATACTAGGCACCGGTTTTAAAAAAAGGTGAATTAGTGATGACGGAGTGAATTGACAAGACATACACCATTCGAAAGGTAACCTCATAAGATTTTTGCACGGCAAGTTTCAGCTTTTTTGGAATCAAATTGCGCCCATACTGAGCGAAACACTCTGATATTATACTAGGCACAGGTTTTAAAAAAAGGTGAATTAGTGATGACGGAGTGAATTGACAAGACATACACCATTCGAAAGGTAACCTCATAAGATTTTTGCACGGCAAGTTTCAGCTTTTTTGGAATCAAATTGCGCCCATACTGAGCGAAACACTCTGATATTATACTAGGCACCGGTTTTGAAAAAAGGTGAATTAGTGATGTCGGAGTGAATTGACAAGACACATACCATTCGAAAGGTAACCTCATACGATTTTAGCACGGCAAGTTTCAGCTTTTTTGGAAACAAATTGCGCCTGCCCGAGGCGAAACACTCTGATATTATACTAGGCACCGGTTTTGAAAAAAGGTGAATTAGTGATGACGTAGTGAATTGACAAGACATACACCATTCGAAAGGTAACCTCATAAGATTTTTGCACGGCAAGTTTCAGCTTTTTTGGAATCAAATTGCGCCCATACTGAGCGAAACACTCTGATATTATACTAGGCACCGGTTTTGAAAAAAGGTGAATTAGTGATGTCGGAGTGAATTGACAAGACATACACCATTCGAAAGGTAACCTCATAAGATTTTTGCACGGCAAGTTTCAGCTTTTTTGGAATCAAATTGCGCCCATACTGAGCGAAACACTCTGATATTATACTAGGCACCGGTTT